TACGTGGTGTTGTTTGTTCTTTTTAGGTCGGAGCAAACGAATGCTGGGAAAGTGAATAGATAAACTGACTAAACTATTTTAACGATTCTTGGAGCCTGGTGTGCATGCACGGAGATCAAAATAGTGCAGAGGTAGATACCAATCTGAGCAGTGATGTTGTCTGCTGTCAGACATTTATTGTAAGAATGAGCCAAATGACGAAATTCAACGTGCTCGAATGTTCCCGCTGATCCATACGCTCATGATTGTCTCAATCACGTGATTGATAAATGTGGGAAAGACGATTTCTCATTTGTCAGGAGGTATCTGAAACGAGTGTTTTATCACTAAAATTCATTCAACACAGCTGCGCATAAGAATATTAAATTAAGCAGACCCTTTTGATATTGAACCCGGCAGTCAGGAAATTTTATCTGGAAGTGTAGCTGCTTTGCATCATACTGCATTTTTTCGCATTCATACATAGCTATTCTACACACTGAATGCCCATATTTCTTTTCGTTCTTCTATCTATTAGCTTTCTTTATACCTGTGTTCTTGTTTTTGCTGTTGTGCTAGGCTGAATTGTCTCAATATTTAGAAATATCTTTGTTCACCCGTGAGTCGCTCGTTTTCTGGCTCTTCCGACCAACATGGTCTTTCTAAATCAATTCACAACGCAATTCCATCCGGTTCCATTCCCGTCACATAACTTGAGTGCCACGTTTTACAATAACCGTTAGAGATCGTTTGTTCATTCAATAAAACGAACTAGAAAAGACTCGATTAGATCCACGGTTCAATCGAAATAGGGCTTCGTGGTTCGTGACTGCTGTTTCTCTCTCCAGTGTTGGCGAATATCGACAGAAGTGTTTCACCTAGCTGACAATACCCCAAAGACCGGGACTATTTAGTCTGCTTGGTACGCTAACCGTGCAGTACTCGTTCACTTGGATTACAGAACTCAGATTTGACTTTTTCCTGACGTTTAATTTGTTTTAGCATTTGACAATCATTTGCACTTCATAAATATCCGTAGCGTTTGAATGCATGCATTCCACCTGCTAATTTTTCTCACTGTGGTTCTTTTCTGTCCCCTCTAAACGCAGTTGAAGTGATTATCCAACTCACTTCCAGTCTGGCCGGATCCTTGATTGGTTACATCCTGCCTTCCATTGCTGTGCTGTCTGCCTATGGATTCTCTCGATCGTCCAAAGACCGCCGATTCGCGTTCTATCTGCTAATTGTGGGTGTGTCCCTTTTCGTGATCGGTCTTGTGTCTGTTTCCATTTCGGATCCTCAGACGATTCATTTGCCACACGTGACTGGTCCTGTCGTCGGACCTCCAGATATCCCCGGATATATGGATCCCTCGGTCCCCGACACCGTGGATTCCAGGAAAAGTAATGCGCAATCGTCCCTACATCAAATTCAGTTGGACATGGATGTTGAACAACAGCAACGAGTTCTTTCAGAGCGTAAGAATAATAAAAAAGAAAGATTAAGACCGTTTTCACGCTCGTCTAGTGGTCAACCAGTTCGGGAAACTGCTGGTTTAGTGACCAAACGACCAACGAAACATGTCTCAGTTGGTCATGTGACTCGGGATACTTCCTCTCAAATAAATTCAACGGTTACACATCAAGTTCATGCACAAAATAAGCCAAACGTCCAAGGGGTCGTTCAACCAAAGATTCTAGATGAAAACAATCTCAACGATCAATTGATACCAAGTGAGCCAATCGACAGGGATCAGTTGCAGGTGGGCAAGTCTAAAGAGAATAGTTTATCAAACGAGGCTCATCGACCCATTCAAGTTGAAGTGGTTGAACCGAAAGCTCCAGTCGAATTGAATCAAGACGCAAGATTAGTTCCAGATGAGTTAAGTGCTAAAGCACAGCCGGATTCGGGCAAGTCGAAGGATGCTGGTCAGTCAGACGCGGCTCCACAACCTGTTCAAGTTGAAGTGGCCGAACCAAAAGCTCCAGTCGAATTAAATCAAGATGCAAGATTAGTTCCAGATGAGTTGAGTGCTAAAGCACAGCCGGATTCGGGCAAGTCGAAGGATGCTGGTCAGTCAGACGCGGCTCCACGACCTATTCTAGTTGAAGTGGCCGAACCGAAAGCTCCAGTCGAATTGAATCAAGACGCAAGATTAGTTCCAGATGAGTTAAGTGCTAAAGCACAGCCGGATTCGGGCAAGTCGAAGGATGCTGGTCAGTCAGACGCGGCTCCACAACCTGTTCAGGTTGAGGTGGCTGAACCGAATGCTCCAGTTGAACTAAAACGGGCAAAGATCAATCATGGACAAGATGGCAGTCCGGAGCATTCAGAGGGAGTGAACGCTCTTTCAGCCCGTCAGCTATTAGAGCACTCGATCGATAGTCATCATAGTTTCTCCTCACAGACAAATATACCATCTCGACCACTTGTTAATAGGAAATCAGATCCAAAATTGCCTTCGATTTCCGATTCGCAAAACCAAACAGCAGGCGAGTATTTGCTTATCTCCGATCCAGGGTTGAAACAAAATGGACAGAAGGTACTTTCTAACAACGGGCTAGCTTCCACACATGCAGATTCACTGCCGCTATCACGGAACGCCTCAATCGAGAGTCCATTGAATGCCGATGCGAAATCTCGGCAGAAATTGCATGCAAATTCAGTGATCAAGACCAACCGACAGACAAACGCAGTTAACGTTCCCTTGTCACCACAATCGACTAAGCCTGTCCTCATGCCCGTTCGGCCAAAAGCCAGACGGCTGGTTGCTAATCCGGAAAAATCAAAGGCAAACATTGAACTACCGTTGGAATCTCAAGAAGACAACGGAACCTTGACTCGGCTTGATGCTAGTGCAGTGAATTCGTCAAATAGCCAGAATTTACCAGAGGTTACGCAAACTGCGTCAAGTTCCAACTCTTCAACAGATAAGTCGGAACAATTCGTGAAACAGTACCCAGATTTATTGTGATTTTCTCATAGTGCTTTCTGATGACGCTGTTAAAGATTAGGCCTATTCCTACTTCATTCGGGTTTGTACTGTCCCCAAATTCCCCTCTCTTCATCCCCTTTTTGTACAAAACAAATCGTTCCAGACCTATGTGTGTGCATAGCCTGTGTAAATAACCTCGTAAGTTATTAGCTTCTGTATTTCCCGCCACTTTCGACCATCTCCCATCCTTCCACCTCGTGTTTGTCTGCGCACACGAACACCCCCAATAGGTCCCAGGTCCATCAGTCGGTGGTTTTCACACAATTTTTCTCACGGAATGTGAACGCGTTCATGATAAGGCGATCTCCTTTGTCCTCATTATTTTTGTTTTCTTTTGTATCTC